GAAGATCGCCTTCATACCTCTTGATATTTTTCCGTTGGGTATCAAGCTCTGTTCTGCATCGCTGAACTGCTTGTTGAGCCTGACGCTCGTCGCGATTGATCTCAGCCATTTCTTGACCCAAGTGTTTGAGGTTTTCTTCTTGTATCTCAACCTGTTGACCAGCATCCGTTTGCATCCTAGGACGCATCGTGTATGGTGGGACTGGACTTGTACCAGCAGATCCATTCCGGTTGGTGAGTCTGAGGCCCCATCCTCGCTTCCCGCGACCATCGTGAAAGCAGAGACAAGCACTCACGTTGCGCGGAGCCGCACCTTCAACCATGACCCGTTCAGCTTCGACTCGATCACGAATGAGAATGATTTTCTCGATTTGGTTGCTGATAATGAGCTGCGATCGGACAATGTCGTCGTCGAACTGAAGAACGCTCAACATAGTATTAAATCTAGGATCAGGCTCCTGGCTACTAGTGTCAATCCTGCCTCCATAGGCAATATAGATTGGGGGCTGTCTTTTCAGGCGAAATCGACGCATCAAATTTGCGAGTCTCGTTTGATCCGATTTACTCCTGACAACGAACGCGTTGAGTCCTTCGCCGAGTGTTCGCTCTAGGATCCCCGACCATTCCGGCTTCGATAGTCGGATATGCGCTCCAATAGGTCCGACAGGCTTTTGTTCCCATCCCCTCTCATTCTCGATGGCTTTGACGAGGTCCTTAATCTCTCTGTCATAGCCATCGAAACGCCCTCCCGTAGCGGCCTTGAGTTCTCGAACCTGTTGCTCCACGGACACGATCTCTTTGCGTTTGACTTCTTTGTTTTGCGAAAGTCTCTTGAAGTGTTGCTCAGCCTCGCCAAGTCGCGCAGTAAGGCCAGGAAGCTTGTTTTGAATTTCCTCTATCTGTTGCTTCAAGAGCTGTTCCCTCTTTCGAGCAGTTTCTAGCTCGTTGTCCTTTTGTGTGCGGGCATTTCCTGTTGATTCGCTCAGCCGGCGTTCTTCTTCCTGGATCTTGCGCTGGCAGGCTTTCATATCGTCTTTGGCTGTCTTCAGGCGTTGGTAAGCATCTCGTTCCTCCATGAGCAGCTCTGACTCCTCCTTTTGCGCCTTTCGGTAAGCAGCTGTAGCGTTGTCGATGCGCTCCTTGAACGCATCTCGATCACTCTCAATCTCTTCCTTTGCCTGCCAAAGCCTCTCGATCTTCTCGTTGATATTCTCAAGGGCTTGGGTCGATGATTCGCAGTTTTTTTCCGCCTCGGTTATGCTCTCAGTCCGTCTAGTGATTTCCTTTTCACAGTCCTCGAGGAGACGTTCCTGCTCGACAACCTGAGACCAGACCAGTTGATTAATGTAATGCCGGGCCTTTTCGCGAAGATTCTTGTTCTTTTGCGCAGCTTCGGCAAGGCGGCGTGCGGCTTCCGACTCTTTTTTAACCTCTTCGATCTTGGCTTCTAAATCATCTCTGAGTATGAGGGTCTTGTCAAGCGTATCTTGTGACATCCTGTAGTCGTTGTCCAACTGCTCTAGTTGAACACCAGACACGAAATACTTGTACTTCTGGGCTGGAGTCGCCGCGTTGAGAAACTGTCGCGCGTTGTCCTGTGACAGCACGGTGAGGGGATTGCCGATTTGTAGCGCGTACCATTCTGATATCTCATCTACCTCCTGCTTCTTGGTTGAGATGATTCTACCAAGAGCGCTCTTGATCTTGAAGCCACTACTTCCCGATTTGGAGAAATGGCGCTCAACAATGATGCTTTCGCCATAGATATCGGGCTGGTAGGCATCTGAGCCGGCATTCTTGATCTTGACGACCAAGCTACCCTGCTCGCAACCCTCCTTGACAAAGGACTTGAGACTTCCACCTCGGTTGGTATCGCTAGCCTTGCCACCCAGACATAGTGTTAGTGCGGTTAGCACAGCACTCTTTCCACTACCATTCTCTCCGACAATGAAGTTGATCAGCGGCCCTAGGTCGACATGTAATCGCTCATGGCACATAAAGTTGAAGCAGGTAATGCTCTCGATGATACCACCCTCAGATACCACATTGTTGCCGAGGTTGATGACCCGCTTGGCGAGCTTCTGGGTGGCTTGCTGGTCGTCCCAGTCAGCGTGCTCTAGATGTTTGAAGCCATTGTCTCGCATGATCTCGTACTGGGTCTGTGGCGGCCCAGCCATATTTCTGCGGTCTTCGTCATCTTCGCTTTGATCACTCGGAGTGTTCTCCCTTTGTGGTGTTTCTCTCGTTTGGCTGTCGTCTACGGTTACTCTGGCACGCTTCCTCTGTAATAGCACATGAGTCAGATGGCATGCTGCATGGGGGCATTTGGTGTATTCCTTACGGTATCTTCTCTTGAGAAATTAGATCGCGCTTGTCGTACATCTACTATGGCATCGTCCTCTTGTTCAACGTCTCGCCGGGATCTCTTTGTGGGTGCCATGGCTGCTATGCTCACGGCAGCCTCGTGATAGGTCGATTGGTAGGGAGGTTGTTACGGTTTGTCGTATGGGAGCTGTTATAGGTTCTTCGGTATTGAGACTTATTTGAAGGATGTCGAGAACGAGAGGCGACAGCGACTGTTCAATCTGTACTACCAAGAATTGTTGCGATCAGACATGGTCAAAGAATGGCAGTTGCGTCTGAAGTATCCCACTATACGCGCCTGGGGTGGACGGGACGTGACAAGCGTGTCTTGTAGTGGGGACCCTTGTTCCTAATGGGGGCTAGCGCAGATCTGCCGCAAATGACACAGAATTCCAACATCGTCGTAAGCTGCTTACCCGGTAGCCCCCGTGTATCGATAAATAAACTCAGAACCCCAACCTGAGCCTCCCTCGACAACTCATCAGGAGATGCAGTTTATTAATGGCATCGTACAAAAGCCATGTCGCTCAGGCCGCAAATTATAGAAGAAGAAGAGGAATTCCCTCAACAAACAGGCGATGCAGAAGAGGCAAACTTCAAGAATCAACTGCCAGATAATTGTGTCGAGTATCTTCTTTTTTTTATAGACCCTCAAGTCGATGTTCGCAAACAGCTTGCACAAGTCGAGAATATCCGAAAGTCGGCCATAGAGCTTGCCGCAACACTTACCAAAGACTACATATGGCAAAAAGATGAATTCAGTCTGACCCTAAAAAATGAAAACGGTGAGTGTCATGCTTGCAACGTTCACCACTTACTTTCAAGGTATCTAGATACTAACACCCTTGATAGGACTGCTCTACCTCCATGGTATCACGGATTATAGCGATGCCGTAGAAGACGAATGGCTCATCGTATATATACTAAGAGAACTATCAAAGTCCCACCCCAACCTCTGGATCCGGGTATTTGACACAGACGGCGAGTTCCTCCTGGTTGAAGCCGCCAATGTGCTGCCCAGATGGTTGAACCCCGAGATTGACAATAACCGAGCCTGGATTAACAAAGGAAGTCTTCTTCTCATCCCCGTCAAAGATGAAGAGGGCCTCAGAGCTCGCAATCTTGAACTACCGGACGCAGTCCAAGTGATTAAAACGAAACGCGATGCACTTGTTCACTCAGGTTTTGTCGAAGCCGAAGCTTTCTACAGACTTGAAAAGTACCCAGGGCAGATCAGCGAATCTCTACACCATTCTCTCATTACTATACCGAGGAAGTTAGCATATATCCTCCATTCTCTCCCTAAATCGGTTGCACCAGCAGTCGAAGAATTCTATCTCCGGGACCCGGTAGCCTTGAAACGTGTCATCTCACCAACTCAACCATTAACATTCCCTCCAGAGGATCTCATCACAGTATCTGTCAGGTTTAGCAAGGTACTTTTCGCTCAGTTGCAATCCCAACGGTTCGATGCCCCGCCGAGCTGGAGCGAAGTCCTTCGGAAAGCGCAGAAAGAAGCACATTCAGGCGAGGCAGACAAAGTCATGGCGAGATTGGATATTGGGATGAAACTCACATGTGGGTTCGAAATGCTGGCTGCAAAGGCTGAAAAGAGCAAACTCAGAGTTGTCCGCGAGCTTGCTATCGAGCTCGAGGATCTCGCAGAAGATGGCAACGAGGCTCTCCCCTCAGATGAAGACATTAAATCATGGAAGGATCACGATCGTGATGACAGCGAAGCATGGATGGACATCAACTACCAAGATTTCGAGAAGGAATTGGATGGAAAAAGAGGAAAAGCTTCCTCCAACTCCAAGTCAGGCTTTGGAGATGCGAATACACAATCTGATCTTCGCAAGATTGTGTCTCGCTTCGAGGCATTTCTGAATGATGACAATGCTGGAATGGACGGCGCAGAACTTGATGAAATGGATTACGATGATGATGATGATGATGATGATGACGATGACGAATTCGACGAAGACAGCGAGTCCGAGGATAAGGAGGTTAGCTTTGACGAGGAGGAGTTCGCTAGGATGATGAGAGAAATGATGGGTCTACCATCCACAGTCTCAAGCACAAGCACGGCAAAGAAGGCTGCGACCCAGTCCAAGACCCCTGTAATTGACGAAGAGGACGAAGAGATCCAGAAACTCACCACGGAGTTCGAAGCAGAGCTCAATGAGCATGGTGCGCTCAAGCTTGACCCTGTTGAGAAGCAACCCCGCCTGAAGGATGTAACTCAAAAAGAGAGAGAGAGTAGCCTGGCAGACATCAAGGAAGAAGAAGAGAACAGCGATGACGAAGTTGATATTGACTACAACCTGGCAAAGAACTTACTCGAAAGCTTCAAGAGCCAGGCTGGTTTGGCTGGGCCGACTGGTAACTTGTTAGGTATGATGGGCTTTCAACTACCACGAGACGAAGAAGATAAGAATGAAGAGGAGGATGAAGAGACTGGCAATAATTCTACAAAAGGGAAGGGAAAAGCAAGAGCATAGTTTGTCGATGGACATGTTGCTCATTTTATTCACGAGATATTAATGCTTTAGTAAGGTGATCATAACATGTGTCTATTCGTGTATTACTCGTATCGCTCACCAACAGCTAGTGGCTTGTAAATATGGTCGTATATACTCAAGGTTCGCTATCTTCGTCGCTCTCCTGTCCGGAGCGCGGTCTCTTCGCAGGTGACATCTCACCACTCATACGCCTACGCCTCTGCTGGCCCCGGTCGTCAAGTTCTTCAAGCCGAGCCAGCACATTGCCGAGATGTTTTCGAGCTGCAAGTTCTCGCCTGCTGCTGTCGGTCTGCGGCCTATAGTACTCCCCCACCAGAGTGACCACCGCGTGATAACACTCGTAGAGAAGGATGCGAATGTGTGCATTGTCCCGATCTTCGATGATGCTTGCCGTCGTTTCACCTGGTAGTGGGTTGTCGAATCCTCGCCAGAAATCATCTGAGAGATTTGGTTGTTTGCTGAAGACGGTGGCCATGAGGGGATCACCGAAGACGCAATTGCTCCATTGCCGTAAACCAGTTACTTCGATGGGGTTTTGGCTTGGCTCATCTGTTATCATGTAATCCGCCTTTCTGCTGATGCCATCCTGCAAGACTATCCTGTAGTCTTGTCCCACCTTTCCATCATTCCCCGGTTTCCTCGAAACCCCTTTTCCTAAGTTCGGTTGTGGCTGCACCTCTTTAGGGAGTATAGATTTCTTCTCGCTTTCGTATGGGCGGTGTATTAATGTATTGGACTCTTCGCCGGCATCCAAGACAACAAGTCGCGGTTTCGTTACTGCATCAAGCAGATGTTGGAAACGCTCGAAATGGTGTCGAATGTTGTTGTAATTGAACATAATGGTCAAGTCCTCTCCATCTCGAAGGACCGATTCCAACAGACTGTGAAATGCTACTCTCCAGGAGTCAGCACCCTTTGAATCAGTCAAGCTTCCTTCAAAACGTGGTGGGGGGTGATGGACAACTGAAGGAGATACTGATAGGACGTCAGCGGCAATGCCAAATCTCCTGGTTGGTGAAACTTGGCTGGATATGCGACGGAGTAGTTGGCCTGTTTGGAAGTCCACCGACAATTGCTCACGGGAGTCTAGGGGCCTTGATAGTGTGGATATGGGAGTGCCTCTCGGCGGTCGGATGAGGTTATATTCAACTGGTAGTACACCACCAATAGACTCATGCCGAACAAAGGTAGGTAAGTATCCAGCCAAAAGTTGAGAATTGGTCTCCTTCGCTACAGGGGTTTCAACTGTCCTGCTTGTAGCTTCTTCAGACCCAACGCCGGAGCAGATTTTCCTCTCTCTCGCAACAGCGGAAAGCCACTTGAGCACAGCAGCTTCAGTACCAAGGGTCGACTTCTCAGCGCGTAGCAACCGTATAACCGCAGGTGGGGGTAGCGCCAATAGAAGACTCGGGCCCTCTGTAACCTTGACATTATAAAGACGCTGCAGTCGAGCCGAAGGAACAACCTCGAGTTCCTTTACCGCTAGACGAGGGCTGATGCCGTTGAGCAAGGAGAGGACAGAACTCTCTGGCGGGGCAGCCGCCATGGGACTGAGAGTAGAGGTCGAAGAAGAAGAAGAGGAGGGGAAGATAGAGGCGTTTGGAGAGGGTTCAGTAGAGGTCTGGTTTCGGGCCGAACGGGGGATATTGTCATGTACAAGGTTGCAGCTTTTTTGCGCAACACAATGGCTCAGGAGGGGCAGACTGCCGTCGTCCCGAAGGGTGCATTGGTACGACATTCGAGTCATAGGGAGAAGGATATATATGTAGGATGTGATATTCAAGAGAACGGCTGATCTGATCTGCTGTATGGGCTGAAGCGTTGACGAGGCGAAAGGAGTCGCAGAGAACGGCTTTAAGTAGACGATATCCTTTAGTATATGGAGGAGAGAGAACAGTATGTTCTATTCATGCCTGACAGAACACTCTGCAACACGAGATGAGACAGAGGTTTCGATGGTGAGAGTAAGTAGACTCTTAAACTAGCCGTCTATTGTAGGTAGCTGAGTAAGGATGAGATGGCAGATATGAAGAAGAAGTGCTGACGACAGGTAATTATAGACTGAGTAGATAGAGATAGGTTGAGAAAGTGAAAAGAAAGAAGGAAAGTGATATACGAGAAGGATTAGGATAGAGTGGATAGATGAAGGGTGTAGTGTAGTAGGTAGTGGAGGTTGTTATTAGGTACTAAGCTTCCGCGATACGGACACAGGAGCTAGATTCGCCTTCTCGAACGCCTCATGCGTATGCAAATGCAAGAACAACAAAATGAAAACCCGGCAGGCAAAGAGAGCTAATCAGAAAACAGGAGGAAGATGCATAAGGAGGATTGACAGACAACGGTTGCGTCAGGATATCTCTCGGGTCCCAGAATAAGTGACGATGATGGGTGGGTGCATGTAGTGCATGGACAAACGACAGGCAGGCAGACAGAGTATTTACATGGATAAAAGCACAAAAAAGGCGGAATATACAGGGATAGAATGTCACCGCCTGGTCAGCGAAACTGGCCATGACGAGCGAGATCCAAGAAGCAGAAGTAGAAGCAGAAGCAAGCGAGAATCATGGGGAATGCAAAGAAGCTAACTAGTCAGTTAGTTAGTAGCCAAGAGACGGACCCTACAGAAGAAGGGTCCACGCTTACGAGCGAACGAACGAACGAACGAACGAGCGAGAGCGGAATAAGGAACCGAACAAAAAGACGGTGGCGTAGACGGAAAATGTAAATGGTCGACGTAGCGAGCCAGTAACTGAAGAGCCAGAGGCAGGCACTTTTGTTTAGTCTTGTAGTATTCTTCAGCAACATTTAATAATATCAGTAATAATTAACTGCTGACTGAACAGAGAGCAGAGCAAACACATAGATAGATACTTGCTTGGCTGGAGCAGATGAATAGCTGAAGCCACTCAATCATGATGACAGTAAACAGACGGACGAAAGAAAGAAAGAAAGAAATGCAATACAACACGTAAGAACCCGAAGCCATTCTTTGACTGCATCATATGGTGATATAGCATCAAGCAAGCAAGGGTGTATATGTACACCACATACAACAACAACAACAACAACACATACATCTCCGAGACGGATAGACACTCGAACCCGCCGGAACGGTGAAGCCGAAACGGACCAGCATCTCATCTCCTGGGGTAGGCAAGCGAAACTTTTTCGAAGACCACAGAAGACCAAGACGAAAAGTATGTACAGTATAGGTATGCAGCACAAGGAACAAGGGGGTTACCGAGTAGAATGACGCCCGCAGCCTTAGTTCAAGCCTCTTTTCTGCCCAGGTATTACGCCAAGAGGTGAGGACGGAATAGACTCCGAAAAGACCAAGGTAGAAGAAGGATCGAAGACATGCAGAATGCAGAATGCAACCTCAGTTCCTCCTATCCTGCAGGGCTCTGCTAACTTACTTGTTCATGAGCTGAAGTTAGTGAGAGACTGATAGTACAACTAGTGTTTGCTAGCTACAGGGAGATAGCCTCAGGAGATCGACATCCATCGAGAAGCGCGGATCGGAACGGGAACCGCACAGTCATTGGACCATTTGCGAATCTTGAAGCGAACCATTCCAATTCCCACCAACTATCGAGCCCAGCCCAGCCAAGCCAAGCTTAATAGCACCACATTTGCAGTCGGGGACCATTCCCTTGGGATACTGACCGTGGCCGTACATTAAATACTTTGGTGAGAGTCGATATGCATCAGATGACTATCATGCGTCCGTCATCGATCGCCCTCACAAGAGAAAGAACAGAACAGAAAGAAAAGAGAAGAGCGGAATGTCAGACTCTAAATGACGAAGCCTCTGGCGTGCATCGAGAAGCGAGTCGGGAAATTTATGATTGGCTACCACAAGCGAAGCTGACCTGGGTCACATTCCGCTAACGCAAACAGCCCCTGTCTAGACTCTAGACCCGTTTGTTTTTATACTGCAGCCTAGACTAACTACTCCAGACACAGTATCATTTATCGTATCGCATCGGTTTGGCTTGGCTTGGCTTGGATCTCTGAACGATTCCGCTGTCTTGTCTCTGTTCAGCCCCTAAACCTGCACCAAAACAAAACTATCTTCAGCCACAACCGTTTGCTTTAATTAACTAACTACACGGGAATGTACCGGGAGCACAAGAATAGACAGTCGAGGCTGACCAAGGACAGGTCAAGACTGGACAACTGGCCCGTAACTTCGGGGCCGAAAATCTCAAGCCATCCAACTAAATCTCTGATGGTCATGGAATTCCTCGGTATTCTCGATGTGACGTGACATACAATTCAAGGTACATATCCGTACATACTAGGAGGGCCTCTCTCTACCTGGTTCGTCGAAACCTTACCATCGCATATGGATATACCATACCCACTTCAACCTCAGTCTCAACCATGGCCTTGATTATTATACTTCAGACTCCTTGTCAAAGAATGCAAAGAATGTCACCCCTTCTTCTCTCACCTCACCAAGTGGGATAAGGTACACATACAAGACTGCACGCTTCTTTGCCTGGCTTAGCCTTACGGCACGTCCCACATCCCGTGTACCACAAAGCCACGACTGTTCAATCTCCTGAGCTGTGCGCCAAAGCCCATCTCTCGATCCCTAATCTCGGGGTAGCCTGAGAGCTAGACACGATAGATCGTAATAGCTCACCCCATAATAGCAGCACATACTTGTCGACTACTCCACCGCTGACCAGCAGCCGCTGAAACGCATCATCACTCTCTTGCATATCTCTCATGATACGGATACTCTGGAAGAAAATCCCCTTCTATTCACCGACATATGCCGATCCTTCTCTGTCCCCATTGCCGTGTGACCTTTCCAACTCCTTGAGGAAGAGAAACCCTGCACTTTGGGGGTCATATCCTTAATCCTCCCTGTTGAGTTTGTTACAAGACCCCATCCCATCCATACCCCCAAGTGGATTGGATACATGAAATGCTTGGCTTTCTAAGCACGGAACTTCGGACATCAAAATCCCATCTTTGTAGAATAGCCATGTATATTTCCATCGCCTGTGGATGGATGGATGAATGGATGGATGGTTGGTTGGTTGTCTGACACCACACCACATTGAAACCTAAGTGATCCTGCTCGAATCAGACCCCAACGGTCTCCTCTGTGCAGCCATGAGGCAAAAGGGCCTCGAACCATCTGGAATGCCCAATACTATCCATTGGCAAACACACCTCTCACACGCGAGTGGCTCAAAAGCTAGCTTACGTTGATTCCGCGACTCCCTCGCCTTCAGGCTTTCCCTTCTGCTTCCTATCCTCCAGGGCCACCTTGTACAGCTCGTTGAGATTGTAACGCTTCAGCTCCTCGCTCTCCTGGCCATCAACAACCGAGACTCCGCAGAACGTCTCAACGCTAGTTAGCCAAATGCCATCGCGATAGGTCCAATACGCGAGGGGAGGGGCCGCTTACCTGGAAAATCTCAACCAATACCACCTTGTCGGGACTCGTCAGGTTGACCTTGTGCTTTGGGCTGACCAAGTCCGCAATCTTCTTGATCACCTCGCTCGACTTGAAGGCGGTGTGATTCCGGATGTTATACCTGATGGCGTACTGAAGGGGTCATCGTCAGCTTCAAATAACGACGCTTTCCTCGAATCACATTGTCTACTTACCGTGCAGGCTGTAGACCCCTCACCATCTTGCTCTGGTGCAGTGGGCTCTGCGGAAGCATCCTCTGCCGACTCGCTTTTGAGCTCAAAGTGAGGCTCCATCACGCTGCGGGCCACGCGTTCGATACCCTTGTCTGTCGCCTTGTCTGTATCAAAGATAGGCGTTAAGCGGTTGATGTACTTGGTCTTGCGTTGCATAGGATCCGGGCAGTCCCTGGCATCCTGAGAGGCCTTGGTGACAAGCCTGAGAGGATCAACGGGCTTGACGGTCTTCATGAAGAAGACACAGTCGAGGCCAGTTCCGATGGGTGTGAAGGTCTGCTTCGTCTTGGGCTTTGGCTGTGCCATGCTGGCCAACTCCTTTTCAATAGACGCCTCAATGTCACCGGCATCTTCATCATCCTCGTCCTTGTCTCCATCCTCATTCGGGGGCTTCACTCCGAACAGTGACTCTCCGTACTGGAACAAGTTAGTTTACCAAGCCCTCCAATAGACTGAAAGGGTATCATGAGCGAGTTCCATACCTCGTTACAAAGGTTCTTGAACTCCGCAATCGCCTTGCCCTTCATTCCTCTCGCGTAAGTTACCCAGATTCCGGCATCGTTGACCTCCAAAGTCCTCCCAAGCTCGACCTGTTCAGTTTTCCTGGCTTTTTGGTGTGGCGTTTGCCATTTACCACCACTGCCTCCCTTTTCAAATGTTAGCCCAGTCTTTTCAATACCATTAAAGCCATAAAACATTCTCCCAGGGTTAAACAAGAGCCCGCTCGCCGACAATGGCATCGTATTTGCTTACCTTGCTCTTTTTGGTGGCTGGGCCATTGCCTCCGGGACCCTGCTTTCGCTTTCCAGCTCCGTCACTCATGATCACGTCCGATATCCTACTGTAAATGATAAAATATATGTAAATAAATATTCGTGATGCCGCAGGAGTCTTTTCAAAAGAAGATAGGAGTGTGAGTCTTGTTGCTGTTGAGCTAGGTCGTCGCGCGTGGAGAATTTTGGTAGAGGCGAATCACGTGTGCTGATTGGTGCCTTTTATAGTTGAGAAAGGGATCAATATTTGAAGAGAGAAAGCTAAAATAAAGATTTCTGAACTATACTGATGTGTTTTATTACCATAAATGAATATCTCTTAAATTGAATCGAGTTGATTAGAAAAGAAGGGATAACGGTGGCTTAAGATGCTCTTGAATGTAAAATCGCGTTAAGCTAGAGGCTTCAGATGCCGCATGATGAAGCATATCACAGCTCAAATCTCCAGATGCACACAGAGTTTGACATTGAAAAGGTTAGCTGGCTCACAATCTATGTTAAATTCGAATCATTCCAGTAAAGTATGAATGATATGCATCAAGTTGTCAACAACCAAATACAGTCATCAGCCATCACCAGTGAGATAAGAGAGTATTAAAGATATAAGAAAATCGCTTTTCAATTTGAGGTACATAAAACATAAACCATCGGCCGCCACTCTATAGTATAAACCATAAACCACTTAAATCATTATTATGTTCTCCAGGAACGTTTTCCAAAACCCCGTCTATCAAATTTCACTCTTTCTCGAGTAACCGTTTAGTGCTTCTTGGCGTTGTTTCTAGCGCTGGCCTCGGCAGTCATGATGAGAGCGCGAGGAGCATCCTCTCTGGGCATGTAGAGCTCGACGAATTGCAAGCACTCAGCAGCATTGAACTCCTTGTTGGTGAGGAGCTCGTTGAGCTCAGTCTTGGTCTTGATCTGGAAGGTCTTGCAGGTCTTCTCGCCACCGAAGACGCTGACGAGGTCCTTGTACTTCCAGTTGTTGATGTCGTTGTAAACAGCATCCATACCGTGGATGAATCGCTCAATGGTGAAACCATCGTTGCAGATGACGAAACTAGAACAAGAGTTAGTAAAAGACACAGAAGATGATCAGTCTTGAAAACATACATTGTGGGCTTGAGGTGGTGTCGGATCATGGTGCTCAGCTCCTGGGCGGTCAATTGGAAAGATCCATCGCCAACAAAGAGGATTGTTCGGCCTTCCTTGCCAGCATCCTTAGCAGCGAGAGCAGCACCCTGGCAAGCACCAACGGACCAGCCGATGCTGCCCCAGAGAACTTGGCTGAGGGCGGTGACGTTACGAGGGAATCGAGTGTCCCAGATACCGAAGTTAGCGGTACCAGTCTCAGTGACGATGATGTCGTTGGGGATGAGGTATTCGCCAACGCGGGGCCAGAGCCAGGCCTGTGTGATGATCTCAGAGTCGTCGGTGTTCTTCTCGACCTCGTTCCTGACCTCAGGGATAGAAGGAGCGGGCATAGACTTGGGGTCGACCCGGTCGATGATCTTGCGCAGAACACCACGCATGGCAACGCCGGGATATGTGGAGTAGCGGACCTTGCAGTGAGTGCTGTGGAAATCAACAGAGTTGATCTGTGATGTGCGGTAAGAGAAACCGGTGGTGTTGAAGTCACTCTTGAGAGCACCAATGGTGAGAAGGAGATCAGAGCCCTCGACGATAGACTGGGCACGAGCGGGATGAGAACCGTCACCAGCGAAGACACCACCATAGTTGGGGTGGTCCTCATTCACAGCACCCTTACCCATGGGGGTGACAAAGACGGGAAGGTCGAGCTTGTCGATGAGCTGGTGAACCTCCTTGACAACACGGTGGCGGATAGCACAAGAGTCGACAAGAATGACAGGGCGCTGAGCAGCGTACATAGCCTTGAGGATCTCTTCAACGACGAAATCCTCGTTAGCGGTGTCGTTCTGAGGCTCAGACAGGTCGATGGGGGTGTCAAGTCGAGCACCCTCAACCTTCTCTTGGACCATGTCGGTAGGGACCATGATGTAGACGGGACGAGAGCGGAGCCAGCAAGTGCGGAGAGCAGTATCGATCTGCTCGGCAATCTCGGAGGGCTTGTTGAGTTTGGCGACGTTGCAAGAGATTTGAGCGCTCATGTTGGCAAAGACATCAAAGTCGCCGTTTCCGAGAGTGTGGTGAAGAAGCATCTGGTCACGCTGAGAGATGGTAGAAGGGCATCCAACAATATGGACGACGGGGATGTGCTCGGAGTAAGAGCCAGCAACACCATTGACGGCAGAGAGCTCACCAACACCGAAGGTGGTGATGAGAGCAGCCATCTTGGTGACACGGGCATATCCATCAGCAGCGTAGGCTAAGATTGTTATGTTAGTGATATGGTGTTTTTTGAGACCTGTTGATGAAGTCATGATGAAACTCACCAGCGTTAAGCTCGTTAACACTACCGACCCACTTGAGGTTGCATTGAGGAAGATAGTCGAGGGCGACGAGGTTGTAGTCGCCGGGAACACCGTGAACAGATCGGACGCCGACTTCGTAGAGACGTTTGAAGAGGTATTCAGCCACGTCGATTGGCTTTTGGAGGTTAGAGTTGCTCATGATTGCGGCTTGACCGCTAGGTAAATTGTTAGGGGAGATAAGAGATATGATATGGAGGGGTAATCGAGGAAGCTCAAAGCTTAATTGTAGGATGAGTGAGAGAGATGTTTGTTATAAGGATGAGAATGAGGATGAGGATGAGGATGAGGGGAAGATGATATGAGATGTCTAGGTTAAGAGGTAACCAAGACAACCAAAAGAGGAATGTGATTGATTGATTGATTGATCGATGGAATGATGAGGAAGGAAGAGAAGATGCTTTCGGTCGAGGGGGAAGGAGGTGTTTATACGTTTGATGCTTCACCTTACCTTACCTTACCTTACCTTAGTAGCTACTGCGTACGTACGTATCGACTATGAGCAAATACGATTCATTGAAGCTTGCTAACAGGTGTGCACCCTCACAAATTGGGTGTACACTCAGCAGTTTACTTACAGTGTAAGGTAGCAAAGCAGCTTGTCACCAATGATACCCCTTGCTCTTCCTTGCTTCTAAACCTCAAATGGGTTGATCTGATCTGATCTGATTGATTGCGCCAAAAATAAGACCATGGTCAAAATGAGCCCAGTCCAGTCCAGTCCTGTCCTGTTCAAGCCCTGTAAGCGTCACTAGAATCGGACCTGCCAAGGAGACAGCACGGGCATAAGCCCAGCCCAGTAGCAAATTCTGATTGACCGTCATTCTCGGCTTCACAATGTCACGATATTTCCTCGCTCGCTCCCGACCAGAAGCGGCCGAAACCGCGATAGTGAGTGACAGACTGACAGTACATACATACAGTAAAAGCTACGGTGACAGCGATAAAAGTCCTCTGATGGTGATGTAATGACCCTCCTACGGGCTACCAGTCAACGCCACACACACGGGAGGGCGGCTCTTTTACTGCGAACTAGGCTCTAACTCTGCATTAGCCGCAGCTATTTTTTTCTCTCCCCTTCTGTACCTACCTATGCAGCGGATCCATTGTTAGTATGGATGCGTAGGTAGCGACCGACAGTCAGAAAATCATATGATGCCATTGTGCCCTGTTTACGGGCCCTCCCAATCGGGCAGACTTTGTCAAGGGTGGAATCTTGATGTTGGCTACGGGTCTAAGAACGTCTAGAAACAATTCAATGCCACAGAATGAGTGGATACCTCGATAGAAATCGGATGCTTCCTTTTGACGATGACAGGGGAACAACGGGACGATGAGGAAAAAGAAAGCAAAGATGCCAGCCACGATCAAATCTGCATGGATCCAATGTGATCACCCTCGACAACTCCTTGTCTCCTTGTCTTTGCTTGTCAGAGCCAACTCCGGCCATCCCGGCTAGTCCGGACCTGTGCAGCCGAGCGACCACCAGCCGGGATCATAGGTAGTCCATATGTAAAACAATACCCGGAGATGCCAAGTTAGAACCAACGTTGGTCTCTCAGTCTGCGGTTGGGGATGGAATGGGATGGATGGATGGGTATTTGGAAATGGCGTTGTTTTCCTTCTCGAGATGCCTGCGACCGGCAATCGACAAGACAACGGGGGGGTCCAACTGCGTATGTACTGTACGCATCCAGATCCAGGGACCTATGCCACCATCATTGACTATTTCCATGGATGTCGATATCCTTATCGTTGCAAGGTCTGCGGTGGTGGATGTCCATGTCGACCCTGAATAGCCTCCTCATTCAAGGTTGACATAACGAGACTTTTATGTCGATACCTTAGTATATTCTCAACTGTCCAACTGTACCTATGTATCTGTCTTGAGTTACCGGGTAAATTGCGTACTGGCAGCAAGCGGCACAACTTGCATGCAAGCGTAGCATTCATGATCATCACTAGCCTACGTACGCGTGTAGTAATGCTGAGGCAAGACATGACTATGCATTACATTACATTACATTACATGACATTACATTGCAGTGGAAAAATATCGCAGCCAACTATCCATTCACAACTCTCAACGTACAGCACTCCAATCGATGAAGCAATCAACAAGAAAACAACACCAAGCCCATCTCAAGACAGGGATCTCGTGTCCGTAAAAGGCCCTTTCACTCATACTGTAGCTTGATAACATCCCGTAATCGACATCCGATTATCACGACCAATATCATCTCCAGCCTCTTCTTTCCTTTGTTTTCCGCTCTTTGCCGTAAAATACCAAACCGAGATCGTGTTACAATAGCGGGACGATATCAAATCCTTTTCTTCATCAACGGATAAAGGGCATGGATCCAGAGGGGCCATGACAGGCATTGGCTGCGAGATGGGATGTTGCAGGGTAAGGTAACCTGAGATGTTGGGAACTAAGTTAGTTATCTATATCTATACACCACCTTGGCCCTAGCTACGGCCATGCCTCTTGGAAGAGAGCTGCAGTTGGTGGTTTTTGGCAAAAAGGCGGCCCGGTAGTTGTCTTGTACAGCCGTGCCATGTCAGATCATTCTTATCGCCGCCTAAAGGGAGTTCACCGAAACGAGCAGGGATGTGCAGCTAGGGTGGTGAACTGGTGAGACCTAGACCGGCCCTCTGGGATATATCGTATGTATGTACCTGCGCGACTGTACGTTCCTGAATTTGACCTCAATCGTCGTTGTCGCTGTCCTGTATTGAACTGACTCAATATTGCACTCACCCTACAGGGCTGGCCTTGTCCAAGACGAAGCTATAACTGCTCATTCGGAAATCTAACACTGCTTCAGAGCGGTGTATCCGTATAATATTGATTATGCTCATCTCGACAGATGGTGGGACTTGATGAATGTATTTGGACTCATGATATGTTTGTTACATTTGTTATACATCTATAGATTGTCGTGAGATGAGATTCTATGTATGCATGCAGTTCTCGGTTCGCCTCTACTATACAGTTCATGCTCCATCATGAAAAATCCATTCCAAATCGGCGATTCCCATGCTCCGCTCATAGACGTTTCAAACCGTCTTGCCCATCATTTCTTCCTCTGTCCATAAAAAAGTCGTTGACATCCCACGCCTTCATCGGTCCGGCATTAACCACACGTGTATGCATGTATCCACACAACAGCCAACGGTCCATCATGTCATTCTCCAATCGGTGTGCAATCGCCCAGGGGCCCAAATATCGTACACCGCACACCGAAACCACAATGAGTCGAGGTCTCTGACATATTTACTGTATGGATAGGCGCGTTAGCCTCCCGGCCCGATCCAGCAGCCTCAGCCTCAGCTCAGAAACAGCTTAATCGCATCTTCCGTCCTTCCAACCTGTCCGCCACCGCTCCTCCCACTTGGAACAGTCGAACTCAGGCTTGCCCAATTTGCGGTTGACGTCGTTGTGTGCGCCGCACAGCCACTTGCCGAACTCATCACGGCTGTTGACCTGTGGCGCTTCTCGTTTTAGATAACCCTGGAAATCTTCTGCGCAGACCCAGCAAGGATACAGCTTGGAGAACAGACCGACAAAGCTGAGGAGGTCTGATTTTTGGCCGCTTGACGGCTGTTCCGGATACTGAGCGGCAATAGAGTGAAGCAATGTCCATGTACTACGGCCTAGCACCTCGACATCTGGAGGGCAGTCGGCCGGAGGACCCCTGACCTTTGCAGCATCCTGTTTGAGAGTACTCTTTGTCTGGGAAGCCCATGCAGCAAAAGACGTACAGTTCCGGCATCTGAGCAAGGGTCAGTCGATAGACTTACTGTAGGGCTCCATTTGCAGGGCATAATGATGAAACTCACGGTTTGCCGTCAGGGCCTAGTACTACTCCCTTGGGGATCCTCTTAGGCGGCTCAGCAGAGCCTCCTATCGACGATGCAGGGGCAGCGGGCGCAGCCGCCTGCTGTTGATCGTTCGGATCGCTGGACATTGAATGGCGCCACTTGTGGTGGTGAGATCTCTGACTCTGGCTCTAACTCGACTTCTGAGGCGAGCTTCCGCTAAGGAATAAGACGGGAACAACAAGTCGGCGCTTTCGGTGGAATTATTAGGGGACTGAGTAAGTGAAACAGATCAGGTAAGCAAAGCAATTGATCAATTGATGAATGTCAACGAACGAAACGCCACAAAAGAATCTCGGGACTGAGAGAATTGGGATCTTGAGACTTTTACATACGATTGTCGTGGTGTGATGTCTATTTGTCAGCCTCTGTCTACTAACATAGAAGAAAAGAAGCTACCTAAACTGCCAGGATGTTAAAACGTTCTATCAAGTGTCTACTCCGTATTGACAGAATTCAAAGGCTATCTGTTATCGATAAGCCACTGAATCCTGGAAACTTCCAGGGACAGGCCAAATTTAGGCCGGAGCAACGCCGTCTTCTGGGTGATTATGGGGCGAGGCAGCCCACGCCCAGCTCGCTAACTCGTTACCGATGGAGCTTCTTTAGTTGGGGATGTGCATTCTTCACTCTAGCATCATTTCCCGCCGAGTATTGTCTAGTCTCTTGAAAATGTATGATTAGTTCATGATTATACAAAAGTGGCGATTCAAGCATCTCCGTCAAATCTCTCCCTATTTGCCAATGTCTCTGACAGTCAGATTGCGTTTCCGAAAGGCGATGTTGCAGCTGTATCATTCATGAACTCATCCATGACCTTACTCAATGCTGTCGTGTCATCACCAACCGAGAAGAAGGACGGGTCCAATGCCATGGTTTGACCGAACGTGTTATCAAAACCGCCAAAGTGGTTCTCCGCGGATGGCAGAGATGAAGGATTGAATGCTATACACAAGAGTGAGCGGCAAACAACGAGACTTGAAAGGTAGAGAGAGGCTTACTGGTGGATGGTGAAGAAACAGACATCGAACTCTTCCGATATTGCTCAAGTATGGCCGATATTGCCTTGACAGCTCTTTGAGCTTCAAGAGATTGGTCGGATCTCGTCTCCCAGATACCCTTTGCTATAATCAAAGTCTGCAAGATATCACTTCGCCTATTCAAATCTCGTCCTGCATCGTATCTACTCAACGCAAAACATAGCATCATGGTAGCTTGCATGAACTCGGATCTAAGTGGTGCGGCAACTCTCCAGCGTAT